TAGTTATAGTTATAGTACTAAAGTTTAGTTTTACACATTCCTTATAGTTTTATTGGAGATTTATTTTTTCGTAAGACTTCATATAAAAAATCGTATATAATCTTACGCAAAAGATTTCGATAACTCGATCGTACATCTTACAAGAGTCAAAAAGTTTGTGTAAATACAATTTAAATCGTACGGTTGCCAACACTGCTGTGCCCGCTCGGCTGGGCAGCGGCCGCTAGCGGGGGCCAGCGGGGGCCAGCGGGGCTAAAGGTGCGCGCTCCGGACGACGCGAACTATAGACACAGCGCGCATCCTCGATATATACATACGTACAATTTAATAAGAAGTTTGTCCGTCGCAAGAATTAAAAATATTAAATTAATTTTAATCATTAACAAATATGTATGTATAGAAATGGATATAAATTTAAATTTACAATACAACACATAATCTAAGTTGCTCCGCTACACTCTGTTTGTATTCATGTTAAAGTAAACATATGAAAACTTCTCGATACTACGGTTCTGAAAGGTTAGTCTTTAATCTGACAGAGGTTGTGGTAAGAGACACTCATAGGGGACATGTGGTATCAAGGGACGGTTTATAAATTGTTATTGGCATTTTATGAGTATCACTTAAAACATTCAGAGATATTTGGAGTCTTCTAAACTGTTAAAAGAGAGAAGGATCTTCATCAATCTGTGTATAACTAAAAAGTGATCTTTTAAGTTAATATTGATAACAAAATGAAATACTTCCTTTTATACGTATAAATAATATAACAAAATTATTTGTATAGTCTTTTTACTTACTATTTCTATTTTATATATTTCACTTAGATGGATTGAAATATCCAATGAAATATGTATGACTTTTAAAATTTCAATAAATGACATAACACAAATGACATATTTTGCGGGCAGCGGAGCGGCAGCGGGAGCTGCAGCGGGAGCGGCAGCGGGAGCGGTAGCGGGAACGGAAGCGGGAGCGGCAGCGGGAGCGGCTGCGGGGGCGGCATAGGGAGCGGCAGCGGGAGCGGCAGCGGGGGCGGCAGCGGGAGCGGAAGCGGATGCGGCAGCGGGAGCGGCAGCGGGAGCGGCAGCGGGAGCGGCAGCGGGAGCGGCAGCGGGAGCGGCAGCGGGAGCGGCAGCGGGAGCGGCAGCGGGAGCGGCAGCGGGAGCGGCAGCGGGAGCGGCAGCGGGAGCGGCAGCGGGAGCGGCAGCGGGAGCGGCGGCAGCGGGAGCGGCAGCGGGAGCGGCAGCGGGAGCGGCAGCGGGAGCGGCAGCGGGAGCGGCAGCGGGAGCGGCAGCGGGAGCGGCAGCGGGAGCGGCAGCGGGAGCGGCAGCGGGAGCGGCAGCGGGAGCGGCAGCGGGAGCGGCAGCGGGAGCGGCAGGATCTTACGCGTATAATCAAATGGACCGACCCTCGAATACAGCGGTGCCCGCTGCCCGCTAGTTTGGAGAACAGTATGCGTTTCCGTGCCGCCGCCGCCGCCGCTCCGCTGCCCGCAAAATTCGAGGCCGAGGCCTTACATTACTCAGTAAGTGTGTCTGTCTATTATAAATAAATATTAACTAAATTCAAGATTCATACTGCTGAATAAGAACTGCGATTATGAGATTGGATAAAATTTGATAGAAACCGAAGAGAAATCATTTAATATCTCCACATACATACATAGTATGGAACAAAATCGCTTTCTCTGTTTCTATATTCCCTTGTATGGTTAAATCTTTTAAACTACGCAAAGGAGTTTGATGTGGCTTTTTAAAAGATTGTGTATTTAAAGAGGAAGGTACATATATATAATTTAATATCACTACATAGTATAAAACAAAGTCGCTTTCATGTTCCAAAATCCCTAGGTATGCTTAAATATGTAAAACTACACGAAATATTTTAATGCGATTTTTTTAACTAGATAGGGTAATTGAATAGGAAGGTTTATTTTATTTTATTTATTTATTTATTAATTTACAGCGTCAATCTTTATTCAAAAAGTAGTTAAATACACTGTTAATTCAATATAGATCTATATGGCTCTTTACAGTATATAATGTAGATTTTTTGCCCGTGCGAAACCGGAGCGGGTCGCTATGTTTATATACAATGTTCACAGTTTTTGTTTAGTGTATTAAATATAAGCATTAAACGCGTGCGAAGCCGGGGCGCCTTGCTAGAAGATAATAAAATATAGGTAAAGACAACTACATATATTAATTAAGAATGAATGTATGTATTAGCAAAGTACAAACAATTTAATTATAAATAACTTTTCGAATGCTTTATTTTAATTATTTCCAGCAATTAATTTTAATATTTTCATAATCTAAAAGCTACGGAATTGTAAGTGAAGCAAAAAATACCCAATTTGTCACTTATAATTCAAAGGGCATTATTTTGAAAAGAAAGTTGCTCATTCAATTAATGTTCTTATGTCTATGATGATATAGTTTATATTCCAATAAAACGATTCTTATCATCTATACTAATAAAGAGGATAGATTTGTTTGTTTCTTTGTTATGAATAGGCTCCGAAACTACTGAACCGATTTCAAAAGTTCTTTCACCTAGGGAAAGCTACATTATTCCCGAGTAATATAAGCTATATTATATTTAAATAAAAATTAGAGATCCTTACTAAAACTCTAATAATGTAACCCAAGGTGTAAAAAAATGATCTGAAAAATTCCTTACGTCGCGTGCGCTGCGAAAACTATTGATGATAGAACCAAATCATTTACTACGACTTTGCAGAACTCATCATCATCTACAAAAAGTGTCGGGACAGCATATGTCTAAATATTATAGTTATATCACAGTAAGCGGTTTTTTATTCTAAAAATTTAATTTATTATCCGCCGCTTGAAAAGGCTCTTTATTTGTAACTTGGTATTAATCCTTATCAAAATAAATTACTTTATATTCAAGACGGCTTCAGTACCTTTTTATAACTCTTTGAATTATTCAATTCGGACATTTCATTCGGAAGATATCACGAGTTTAAAAATGCAAGTATTAGAAAAAAGTCGCGTGGTTGCCGCTCACCACGCTCAGCTAGCCAGCATGCGATGTAGGCTCCATGTAAGCGTCACTGGGGTACGAGGGGGGAGTCAATCACAACTAATATTATAAATGCGAAAGTAACTCTGTCTGTCTGTCTGTTACGCTTTCCCGCTTAAACCTCTCAAACGATTTTGATGAAATTTGGCGCAGACAATTTTTAGACCCTGAGAAAAATATAGGCTACCTTTTATTACGAAAAAGGGGATGAAGAGGTTGAAATAGGGGTTGAAAGTTTGTACGGTATTTCTGAATTTTAAAAGAGAATACCATGAAACTTTATATTTAAGCACTTGATAGGATATATTTAAACATTTGTTCTAGCGTTTTTGAAATTTCAACCAGTGAAGGGGTGAAATAAGGGTTGACAGTTTGTATGGGATTTCTTAATTTTAGAAGATAAAACCATGAAACTTTATATTTAAGCACTTGATAGGATAATTTAAACATTTGATCTAGCGTTTTTGAAATTTCGACCAGTGAAGGGGTGAAATAAGGGTTGACAGTTTGTATGATATTAGGGTTAACAGTTTGTATGTAGGGTTGACAGTTTGTAAGATATTCATTAATTACATATATTTTGAAAACATAAAAAAAATGAATTGCTTTAGTCACTATCTGAATTATTAGGCACAGCAGATGCGGGGAAAGCATTATATTTTTTGTACATACTTAAATTTAATTTGCTCAGCATATCGTCAGATGGCTTCAAGTTTATACAACATCCTTTTTCTTTAATATGTTGTGCAGCTAACAAATTCTTATGTACCGTTTCTGGAATACAGTTTAGTTTAACATATTCCTCATAGTTACAGTATAGTACTAAATATGGTTAGTTATAGTTATAGTACTAAAGTTTAGTTTTACACATTCCTTATAGTTTTATTGGAGATTTATTTTTTCGTAAGACTTCATATAAAAAATCGTATATAATCTTACGCAAAAGATTTCGATAACTCGATCGTACATCTTACAAGAGTCAAAAAGTTTGTGTAAATACAATTTAAATCGTACGGTTGCCAACACTGCTGTGCCCGCTCGGCTGGGCAGCGGCCGCTAGCGGGGGCCAGCGGGGGCCAGCGGGGCTAAAGGTGCGCGCTCCGGACGACGCGAACTATAGACACAGCGCGCATCCTCGATATATACATACGTACAATTTAATAAGAAGTTTGTCCGTCGCAAGAATTAAAAATATTAAATTAATTTTAATCATTAACAAATATGTATGTATAGAAATGGATATAAATTTAAATTTACAATACAACACATAATCTAAGTTGCTCCGCTACACTCTGTTTGTATTCATGTTAAAGTAAACATATGAAAACTTCTCGATACTACGGTTCTGAAAGGTTAGTCTTTAATCTGACAGAGGTTGTGGTAAGAGACACTCATAGGGGACATGTGGTATCAAGGGACGGTTTATAAATTGTTATTGGCATTTTATGAGTATCACTTAAAACATTCAGAGATATTTGGAGTCTTCTAAACTGTTAAAAGAGAGAAGGATCTTCATCAATCTGTGTATAACTAAAAAGTGATCTTTTAAGTTAATATTGATAACAAAATGAAATACTTCCTTTTATACGTATAAATAATATAACAAAATTATTTGTATAGTCTTTTTACTTACTATTTCTATTTTATATATTTCACTTAGATGGATTGAAATATCCAATGAAATATGTATGACTTTTAAAATTTCAATAAATGACATAACACAGTTGTAATTTAATAGTGATATTGTTTCCACACATGGCTTCATTTTAACTCGAGGAAGTAGATAGCAGATATGTTAATTAGGCCTCGGCCTCGAATTTTGCGGGCAGCGGAGCGGCAGCGGGAGCGGCAGGATCTTACGCGTATAATCAAATGGACCAACCCTCGAATACAGCGGTGCCCGCTGCCCGCTATTTCGGAGAAATGTATGTGTTTTCGTGCCGCCGCTGCTGCCGCTCCGCTGCCCGCAAAATTCGAGGCCGAGGCCTAAGGCCTCGAATTTTGCGGGCAGCGGAGCGGCAGCGGGAGCGGCAGCGGGAGCGGCAGCGGGAGCGGCAGCGGTAGCGGCAGCGGGAGCTGCAGCGGGAGCGGCAGCGGGAGCGGCAGCGGGAACGGAAGCGGGAGCGGCAGCGGGAGCGGCTGCGGGGGCGGCATCGGGAGCGGCAGCGGGAGCGGCAGCGGGGGCGGCAGCGGGAGCGGAAGCGGGAGCGGCAGCGGGAGCGGCAGCGGGAGCGGCAGCGGGAGCGGCAGCGGGAGCGGCAGCGGGAGCGGCAGCGGGAGCGGCAGCGGGAGCGGCAGCGGGAGCGGCAGCGGGAGCGGCAGCGGGAGCGGCAGCGGGAGCGGCAGCGGGAGCGGCAGCGGGAGCGGCAGCGGGAGCGGCAGCGGGAGCGGCAGCGGGAGCGGCAGCGGGAGCGGCAGCGGGAGCGGCAGCGGGAGCGGCAGCGGGAGCGGCAGCGGGAGCGGCAGGATCTTACGCGTATAATCAAATGGACCGACCCTCGAATACAGCGGTGCCCGCTGCCCGCTAGTTTGGAGAACAGTATGCGTTTCCGTGCCGCCGCCGCCGCCGGGTAATTGAATAGGAAGGTTTATTTTATTTTATTTATTTATTTATTAATTTACAGCGTCAATCTTTATTCAAAAAGTAGTTAAATACACTGTTAATTCAATATAGATCTATATGGCTCTTTACAGTATATAATGTAGATTTTTTGCCCGTGCGAAACCGGAGCGGGTCGCTATGTTTATATACAATGTTCACAGTTTTTGTTTAGTGTATTAAATATAAGCATTAAACGCGTGCGAAGCCGGGGCGCCTTGCTAGAAGATAATAAAATATAGGTAAAGACAACTACATATATTAATTAAGAATGAATGTATGTATTAGCAAAGTACAAACAATTTAATTATAAATAACTTTTCGAATGCTTTATTTTAATTATTTCCAGCAATTAATTTTAATATTTTCATAATCTAAAAGCTACGGAATTGTAAGTGAAGCAAAAAATACCCAATTTGTCACTTATAATTCAAAGGGCATTATTTTGAAAAGAAAGTTGCTCATTCAATTAATGTTCTTATGTCTATGATGATATAGTTTATATTCCAATAAAACGATTCTTATCATCTATACTAATAAAGAGGATAGATTTGTTTGTTTCTTTGTTATGAATAGGCTCCGAAACTACTGAACCGATTTCAAAAGTTCTTTCACCTAGGGAAAGCTACATTATTCCCGAGTAATATAAGCTATATTATATTTAAATAAAAATTAGAGATCCTTACTAAAACTCTAATAATGTAACCCAAGGTGTAAAAAAATGATCTGAAAAATTCCTTACGTCGCGTGCGCTGCGAAAACTATTGATGATAGAACCAAATCATTTACTACGACTTTGCAGAACTCATCATCATCTACAAAAAGTGTCGCGACAGCATATGTCTAAATATTATAGTTATATCACAGTAAGCGGTTTTTTATTCTAAAAATTTAATTTATTATCCGCCGCTTGAAAAGGCTCTTTATTTGTAACTTGGTATTAATCCTTATCAAAATAAATTACTTTATATTCAAGACGGCTTCAGTACCTTTTTATAACTCAATTTGAATTATTCAATTCGGACATTTCATTCGGAAGATATCACGAGTTTAAAAATGCAAGTATTAGAAAAAAGTCGCGTGGTTGCCGCTCACCACGCTCAGCTAGCCAGCATGCGATGTAGGCTCCATGTAAGCGTCACTGGGGTACGAGGGGGGAGTCAATCACAACTAATATTATAAATGCGAAAGTAACTCTGTCTGTCTGTCTGTTACGCTTTCCCGCTTAAACCTCTCAAACGATTTTGATGAAATTTGGCGCAGACAATTTTTAGACCCTGAGAAAAATATAGGCTACCTTTTATTACGAAAAAGGGGATGAAGAGGTTGAAATAGGGGTTGAAAGTTTGTACGGTATTTCTGAATTTTAAAAGAGAATACCATGAAACTTTATATTTAAGCACTTGATAGGATATATTTAAACATTTGTTCTAGCGTTTTTGAAATTTCAACCAGTGAAGGGGTGAAATAAGGGTTGACAGTTTGTATGGGATTTCTTAATTTTAGAAGATAAAACCATGAAACTTTATATTTAAGCACTTGATAGGATAATTTAAACATTTGATCTAGCGTTTTTGAAATTTCGACCAGTGAAGGGGTGAAATAAGGGTTGACAGTTTGTATGGGATTTCTTAATTTTAGAAGATAAAACCATGAAACTTTATATTTAAGCACTTGATAGGATAATTTAAACATTTGATCTAGCGTTTTTGAAATTTCGACCAGTGAAGGGGTGAAATAAGGGTTGACAGTTTGTATGGGATTTCTTAATTTTAGAAGATAAAACCATGAAACTTTATATTTAAGCACTTGATAGGATAATTTAAACATTTGATCTAGCGTTTTTGAAATTTCGACCAGTGACGGGGTGAAATAAGGGTTGACAGTTTGTATGGGATTTCTTAATTTTAGAGGATAAAACCATGAAACTTTAAAATTATAGATCATTTAGTTTTGAAATAACTGAGATACGGAGTTATGAGACAGCACATACGCGATTTGCTCATAGTGCACCTGGGAAAGCCCCATACAAGGCTGTCTCAAAATCGTTTGACGTGCAAGTCGTTGTTATGGAGTAAAAGTAATAAATTAATTTAGTCTTATAAATAAGCTTTCTTTTCTATATTTTTAAAATTATTATTTTTTGCAAACCATAATACATATTATTAAAAGGCATCAAAGTTGACTCATGTTCAATGGTGTTATTTTGGCCCAGTAGGTACGAGTACATTATACTACAATTCAACGCCACATTACTTGAAAATTTTACTAAGATTATAAATGCGAAAGTAACTCTGTCTGTCTGTCTGTTACGCTTTCACGCCTACACCACTGAACTGATTTTAATGAAATTTGGTACAAAAATAGAGTTGATCTTGAGAAAGAACATAGGATAGTTTTTATCCCAGACTTTTGAAAGGTTCTCTTGAAAACGCGATATATCCGAAATCCACGCGTGCGAAGCCGCGGGCGGAAAGCTAGTCTTTTATACAATAATTGAAACGTTTCTCTTGTCAGCGTCAGTGTGAAGGGGACGTGACCAGACTTATAAGAATTTGCAGGAGATGGACTACAGCTTAATACATAGATATAACTAAATTATATACTTGAGTGTATAAAATATTATTTTACTTATAAATTGATATGATGAAAACTTATTAACTTGAAAAATATGACAATTCACAGCAATAATGAGCAAAGCAACCATAAATACCTATTTCAAAAAAATTTATGATTACCAATGCATCCGACGTTTATGTGTGTAGCAAATATCATTGTACAAGGATGACCCACGCTACAATGTTATTGTTTCTGTCCTTTTGTACTTTGAATGCCAAAAAAGATGCAATGTACCTAGAGGTATATTTTTGACAGCGATTTTCAATATCCGTTTCTACTATTCAAACTATTTTTGTTGATTCATTTTATTGTTTTTACATGTCAGATAATATCTATTCTAAAAATCGGTTACTGTTTCATTATGTGTATCAAGTTGTCTGCATTACATACTTAGCAAAGTAAAATATGTTTACCAAAATATGAATAACATCTTTCTCGAACTGTTATAAAAATTTTCAATAATTTATATTTTAGCTAAGATCCATATAGAAAATTATAATCAGTCGCAATTTCTGTTTCAAACCAGAACAACTTCAAATAATGCAAATGTTTTCTCATAAACATGTTGTAACTGATATCCACATGAAAAACATAAATGTTGTTATATTTTACACAGATATTTGTTCGTTACTTTTTAAAACAGAATGTTGTTGAAAACTTTTTTATTATTCATATTTCAATAAAAGTTTTGCTCCAGTAAACAAAAAATAGCACGCGTTTTAATATAACTAATTCCAAAATGTGATTCTAAACGTAATTTTTATAATTTGATTTAAAAAAAATTTTTCGTGATATTGTTCTATCCTATGATCCTAGTCAGATACGATTTTGGTTGACCATCACTAAGTAAACTTCATTGTACAATTACATACATAACAATTTCTACCATAAAAAAACAAATATTACATATCACACTGAACGGACTAACTTAGAATAAAATTTAAACACATACACGGTAAAAATAAAATAAACGATTAAAAGAAAAACGTAGAGCTAATTCGTATATTTTGACTAAAAGTGATCACTCACTATGATTCTAAAGTTATAAGACACTCACTTATTAATTTCTTAGGATATTGAGACTCATGATATAAAATGGTAACATTATCTCTATTCTTAATATGATAGTACATATTTAAAAATGATGGACTTTGTTAACAAAAGTGAAATGTTTGAATAAATTGTTTAAAAAATAATGTATTTTTGTGTTATATTAAATTCTTATCATAAATTACATTTTATAAATTGGTAAAGATCTCTTTATACATTAAATTTAGGAAGAATTGTAACCTTATAAATGAACAAAGCGTGAAGAAATTAAAATAATTTGTTGAAATAGAAAAAATACAAAAAATGCTTTTTATATTCATGTCTTAAAATATCGGATAAACAATATAACAAAAATATATTTTAAAGACTTGCGAGTCTTTGTACTCCACACCTTTTAAATATTATTGGTTAATAGTGTCCCGTGTAACAAAATAGTGTAATAATTATTTGATCATCAAGTCATCCTTCCAGCTACTGAGTAAAAAGACTATACAAAATTATTTGTATAGTCTTTTTACTTACTATTTCTATTTTATATATTTCACTTAGATGGATTGAAATATCCAATGAAATATGTATGACTTTTAAAATTTCAATAAATGACATAACACAGTTGTAATTTAATAGTGATATTGTTTCCACACATGGCTTCATTTTAACTCGAGGAAGTAGATAGCAGATATGTTAATTAGGCCTCGGCCTCGAATTTTGCGGGCAGCGGAGCGGGAGCGGGAGCGGCAGGATCTTACGCATATAATCAAATGGACCGACCCTCGAATACAGCGGTGCCCGCTGCCCGCTATTTTGGAGAAATGTATGTGTTTTCGTGCCGCCGCTGCTGCCGCTCCGCTGCCCGCAAAATTCGAGGCCGAGGCCTAAGGCCTCGAATTTTGCGGGCAGCGGAGCGGCAGCGGGAGCGGTAGCGGGAACGGAAGCGGGAGCGGCAGCGGGAGCGGCTGCGGGGGCGGCATAGGGAGCGGCAGCGGGAGCGGCAGCGGGGGCGGCAGCGGGAGCGGCAGCGGGAGCGGCAGCGGGAGCGGCAGCGGTAGCGGCAGCGGGAGCGGCAGCGGGAGCGGCAGCGGGAGCGGGCAGCGGCAGCGGGAGCGGCAGCGGGAGCGGCAGCGGGAGCGGCAGCGGGAGCGGCAGCGGGAGCGGCAGCGGGAGCGGCAGCGGGAGCGGCAGCGGGAGCGGCAGCGGGAGCGGCAGCGGGAGCGGCAGCGGGAGCGGCAGCGGGAGCGGCAGCGGGAGCGGCAGGATCTT